TACTACCCTGAACAGTCTTGCCATATGATCCAGAAATCCTGTCCCTTTATGCTTACTCATTAGCAGAGTTATGGATGGACTAAAGCTAGCACACTGATAGTTACTGTTACTTTGATCATAGTTGCTGAACCTTGCTAACACACAAGATGCCTTCAGTAAGCAAATAGAGACATAAAGGGTGGTGCATCTAGACAACGGGATATTCCTCAATGGTAACATAAAATGAGCCATAAAGATGTGAAACACCATGGAGGAACCTTAAACCCAGCGAGTGAAGGAATGTCTGAAAAGATGACCTATTGTAGGATCGTAACTATGAAACATTTAGGGAAAAAAAATCTATACTGGCCTAGGAACATGGAGTGATAAAGTCCTTTCTCCACATATTCCAGGCCCTGTATTCAATCCCCAGACCTACAAAACAAAACAATGTTTTGTGGAGATAGCAAAATACCAGTGATTGATAGAGGCTGAGGAGAAAGAGGGATGAACAGTTGGAACACAGAGGTTCTGGGGAGAAATAAAACTATATTGTATCATTGTACAGTAGTTGAACTGTAGAATGTACAGCCCCGGGAGAGAACTTTAGTGGAAATTCTAGATTCTGGGTGACAGTGACTTTGAACTCCCTGACGGTAACAAATGTTGCACACTGGTGGGAGAGGTGAGATAGTTGAAACCCTGTCAGCACAGGGGGTGCAGGGACACTCACTGTGCTCTCAGCTCAGTTTTGCTGTGACTGTGTTTGTATAAAAGTCTATTTTAAAAAGATAGGAGCTGGGCTGCCAAGATGGCTCAGCCAGTAAAGGCACCAGCTGCCAAACGTGATGACCTGAGTTTGATCTCTGACACCCACTTGATAGAAGGAAAGAACCAACTTGGGCAAACTGTCCTTTGACCTCCACACTCATAGCGCTGCACACATTCTCTGCCCCTTCCACTCCTCCCCCCCCCACCACGATATAAATGTGAAAGAAAATTTTAAGGAGGGTAGCTTAAAAAAAAAAAGAGAGAGTAGGTAGGTAGGTAGGTGGATAGATAGATGATAGGTAGGTAGATCTTGCTTCGTTCCTCTGTATATAGAGACTTAATTTACATATATTGTCTGGGTTAGAGCAGGAGAAATGGAGAAGATTAAGAGAAAGCCTGGCAAAAACAAAATAAAAATAAAAATATAAAAGCCTTGTGTTTACTGTGTTTAGTCAGGCATTGAGGCATGCCACTGTAATCCCAGCACTTGGGAAGTAGAGACAGGAGGCCCAAGGCCAGCTTGGCCTATATAATGAAACATGATCTCAAAATCAAAAACAAGTGGGAGCTGGAGAAGACTGTAGTGCTCTTTCTGAGGACTCACACGGCTCCAACCTCCTGAGCATCCAGCTCTACAGGATCTGACACCGTTCTCTGCCTTCACACACACACACACACACACACACACACACACACACACACACACAC